AATGCAGTGTGCCATTCAGTAAGTGACAGAAGGACAAAACTTTCAAATGAACCATTATCTCTTAGACCTCCCATTCATTTGTCCACGTGCGGCACCACCAGGAACATTTGTAGATTGCTTTTCAGAACACATTAAAACCAAGGGATTGAAAAAGCAATGATACAAATCAATTCATGTCTTCAGCATCCCGTGTACCTGGATGCATCTAAAAACATTGTATAAAGGTCATTACTAAAAATGAATTCCCTGCAATCTGTTCCTGGCTCTTACATTTAAAAATGGCTTTGTGATAAATGGATTCCATTTAAAATAGATGCCATGCTTGTAATTGCCCTGTTTGTTTCTTATATAAGCCAGATAGATTGCTCCAAAAGGCAGAGTCACTGTTAGTAAGCAAAATCCACTGTTTTCAAACTGGTTATTAAAATTGTACAAAGTTAGAATCTGCTTTAACTGTATGCAATCCATTAACCAGTTAATTTTTCTCAAAAATTTTTCTCAAAATGGAAAACAACAGAATTTGGTTGGTCAGGAATTTTGGAGATGACATTTGATTAATGGCTGATTTATAAATACATGGTGAAGGAAATTATACTTGTTCAGGCCTTGGTGGTGGGGTTATGTGTTTGTAAAATGTTCACTGTTTTGGGTTTTGTCTATTTTGTAAGTTGTTATTGTATTTAAATAAAATCTTAAAAAAAAATTTTCTCAAAAAGATTAATACTTTAATATTAAAATAAAATGTACTCAAAGTAATATAACAGCGGGGCATAAAATACTACAGACTAATAGCAAAGCTGCTGTTGGTAGTTCTAAAACAACATAGGCTATTATGGCTCTATGGATGTTCCTCTATCCCCCACAACTTCCATTAGTCTAGGGGCCCTTCCATATAGCCATATAACCCAGAATATCAAATCAGATAATCCGCAATATCTGATTTGAACTGTGTTATCTGAGTCCACACTGCCATATAATCCAGTTCAATGTAGATTCAATGTGCTTGGCAAGAAACCAACATTTTTTTGGGAGAGAAAGCTGTAATATTCAACTTAGGGATAATTTCTTGGCCATTTGAACAGATTGGGGATGGGATGGATGGTCTCTCAAATTATGACCCAACTGTAGGATTATATAAACTTTACTGGAGTAATGGATTCAAATGACAAGAAAAGAGATTCTTCCTTAACTTTAGGAAGAACTTTATGACTCTTTGAGAGCGTCATGGGTGTCTGAGGGATGGACCGGGTGGTCTCTGGGATCCCCCCTCTTGAAATCTGGAGCAATGGATTTTTAAAAAAAAAGAAAGGAAAACACTTCTGGTGAAGAAAATCCTGTAAAACAAAGTCTGAGAAACCCTTAGGAAGCAAAGGTTTCACTCTCTCAGCCAACAATGCAGACCATTTTGAATGTTGGACCATTTCAGATTTCTGAATAAGGGGTGTCCTACTTGTCCTGTGTTTCTATCTGTGTATCTTCCATTGATATGAAGCAGTGGGCTTTGAATGTTTGCAAAATATTGGTTTGGGAAATTAAAAAAAGAGAGAGATTTTAGACATGGAAGGTTTTAGACATTTCACACTCTCTCAGCTCTGGGGGATGTCAAAGAGGGACGCCTCCCTCTTAAGAAATCACAAAGAATGACCTCCATTTCTCACTTGCATTCTTATCTTCGTCATCCCTCTTCATCCCTCTTCTCAAGGTCATTTCTCTGAACACACAAACACTCCACTCCCCACATCACAATGCCTCCCTCTCAGGCAAGCCCCTCCCTTCCCTGCTCCTTTACATCACCTGACATCACAATGCTTCCCCCTGACATCACACTCATTCCCTTGACAACTTATACATTGCTGCCTCTCAGTCTCTTCAACCATTTCCCTGAGCTCAGCCTTCATCTGGTCTCCTTCCTTCATCTTTGCCTCATTTAAAGCCTTCCTAAGTCTTTCTCATTATTTGTTGCATTTTCTTATGCTTGCCCTTATTTTATAGATATTAGTACTATTTACTAGAATGTTTTAGAATGTTTTCTTAAGAAATTTAGCATAGTTTTTTTACTTTACTATTATTATTATTGCTTTGCTTCTTCACCTGAGTCTTTTATTAATGCTAATAATTAGTTATTTTTATTATAATTATTTATTGGTTTGTTCCTCTTCCTCAGATAATTTTAGTTTTCTCTCTCTCTCTAATTTTTACTCATTGGTTTATTTTCCTAAATATATTTATCAGTACTAGTTGAGATATATCTTTTCATTAGCTTATTTATATTTTACTTTATATTATTATTATTGGTTTGTTTTTCCTGTGCGGAAGCTATGGAAAGCTCAGGAGGTAGGAGGACCCCTTTCCTGTTGGCCACAATCCTCATTGGGGTGAACCTGCCTCCTTTCATTCGAACTTTAAGGAGCAAGCCTCTGGAAACACACCCCTTTGGCTGGGCAGAAGCTTCCCAGCAGCTTTAGCAACTGTGTCATCACCCCTTGTGGAACCTGGCGCCCCAAAGAACTGCCAAGCAAACCTTTATTGGAGAGACATCCAGTGCAAGTGGGAGAAAGAGACCTTTGGGCAGAAGCAGGAGTATCACTTCTGCCTGGGGTAGCTCCTCGTCTTTTTGCCTTCACTTGTTGGGAAGAAGAAGAAAAAGAAACCCAAGGAGGAGCAGAAGAAGTGGGGGCTACCTCAAAGGCCCCACAAGCCACTGCCCAAATGCCCTGCTCTGAAATCTGTGATATCTCATCTGAGATTGCTGGCCGTCTGGGAGAAGGAGGAGAAAAGGAAGGAGGAGAAGGAACAGCAACCCTTCCTACCAAAACTGCTTCATGATAGAAAGGTACTTCATCCTCCCCCAAGGCCAGCACCTCCACACCACCAAATCTACAAGAGAATCTGCTTAATCTGCTTTCACATGGGGGAATAGGCACAAGATTGCCTCAGTCAGGAAGCCATGTGGGCCACATGTGGGCACAGAGTTTCCTGCCTTTCCATATGATCCCACTCAGCAACCAGTGGAGTGGCACTTAAAGATAGCAAGAGGGTCTCTCAGCAGCTGCCTGGTTGGTAGGCTGGCTCCCTCCCAGTCAGCGGCCAGGGAATGGCAGTTAAAGATGGTGGGAGGGTCTCTCAGTGGCTGCTGGAGAGTATCCAACAATTAGTCAAGCCACCAGGCAAATTACAGATAGTGCCTCTTCAATAAACATGCAGATAATCCACCAGGCAGCAAGCCGATCATACAGGGGCATAATGAATCTTTACCAAAGTAATCCAAGGTCATCAGGACAACCTCATTCTCCATTGTCTTATCTAGGATACTTGGGAATCTCATCACCTAACTGACCATTCCAACCAGACCGACAGAGGAAATGCTAACCTTGTCAAAAGGGACACCTCTCATTTCAATGCCACCAGGAAAATACTTTGTTATTATTGCCAACAGGAAGGCCATATCAAATCTGCATGTCCAAAATTAACTAGTTACAAGAAACCAACATCCCCTCCAAAAACAGTAAACGTTGTTCAACAGACAAAGGCACCAAGTGAGAGCAACACCCTGACAGAAAGTGCAGTTAAAGTATTTAAAGTATGGAATGTTGTGGAAGAGTTTAATAAGGACTTTATGGAGTGGTTAGCGTGAATGAAAAGACAATTTTGGGATTGAGAGATACAAGGGCACAGGTTTCTCTGATTCAGTCACAATTAATAAAACCAGAACAGATAATACATGATTGGAAGTATTGTCTTAAAGGAATACAAGGGCCCCAGTTCGAAGTCCAAGTGGCTGAAGTACCTGTTATATACCACCAGTTTATAGGCACATGGTGGATGGGAGTGATGGAAAGCTTGGACATATCCGTCATTATAGTAAATGACTTGGCAGCATATTGCAGCAAAGTAAGTTATTTATTTATCGTGTCATCAGCAACCACACCATTGTGCCACAATTCCAACAGAACAAAACAAACACACAGATTAAAAACAAAAAGAAAAAAAACACACAGATTTTGCAAACTTGGTAGTTGGTTAAATGTCCTTTGACCAGTATCTGGCCACTTGGAGTGCCTCTGGTGTTGCTGCAAGAAGGTCCTCCATCATGCATGTGGCAGGGCTCAGGTTGCATTGCAGCAGGTGGTCTGTGGTTTGTTCTTCTCCACACTCGCATGCCGAGGATTCCACCCTGTAGCCCCATTTCTTAAGATTGGCTCTGCATCTCGTGGTGCCAGAACGCAGTCTGTTCGGTGCCTTCCAAGTCGCCCAGTCTTCTGTGTGCCCAGCGGGGAGTCTCTCATCTAGTAAAAGTCTTCCCAAGAGATTTGGAGGATTTTCCGGAGGCAGTGCTGATGGAATCGTTCCAGGAGTTGCATGTGACGTCTGTAGACAGTCCACGTTTCGCAGGCATATAGCAGGGTTGGGAGGACAATAGCTTTATAGACAAGCACCTTGGTATCCCTACGGATGTCCCGGTCCTCAAACACTCTCTGCTTCATTCGGAAAAATGCTGCGCTCGCAGAGCTCAGGCGGTGTTGTATTTCGGTATCGATGTTGACTTTGGTGGAGAGGTGGCTGCCAAGGTAGCGGAAATGATCAACATTTTCTAATGTTACACCTAATGTTGTTGTAATTGCACTACATCATAGAAGCATGCCATGTTTCTGTGAAAATTCCTTAAAGCTAAAAAACCCATGTTTATTCATTTATTTATTCGCTTATTCCCACAATAAGCAACACTTAAGCGTGTGCTCTGAAACACGTTAATAGCAGAGTGCCTCCATCGACCGTTGGGACATGTCACTGTTCGCCCAAGGGGCGTGGCCAAGGGGACAAGGAGGCGTGGCAATGTGGGCATTCCCCTCCTTGAATGGAGTGGGAGAGCAGAGATGGAGGCCCCGCCCATCGCCCCGCCCCCTCGGGCCCGCCTCGCGCTCCCCCTCCCAGAGTCTTTTAGAAGCTCCTCCTCCGTTTCCTTCTGCTTTTTTCCAGGGGCGGGGCGTCCACCCCAGCCAGCGTCGCGTGACCGAGCGCGCCCGGTGACGTAGGAGGAAGACGCCGACGCCATTAGAGGGAGGCCCAGCCAGACGCCCCCTGAGTCGGGAAGTGTGTTTCGGTTTAATTTTTCCCCCCTCACAGTCTCCTCTCTTATTTCCGCGGCGCGGCCTTGCTTCCTTCGCTTCTTGGTGTCTCGGGGCTTCCGTAGTGTGCCTGGCTCCGTCGCTCACCCCGCGCCCCCCGGTCAGTTGCGGCTAATGTGAGGCCGCGGCGGCCCCTTCGCTGCGGATGGCGACGGTTGCGGCGGCGGCCTCTTCTGGCGTCGGAGGCGGCGGTGCTGCTGCTCCTGCCGGCGGCGGGAGGAGCTTCTCCTTCAAGGTGGTGCTGCTGGGGGAAGGCTGCGTGGGGAAGACCTCCCTCGTGCTCCGCTACTGCGAGAACAAGTTCAACGACAAGCACATCACCACCCTCCAGGTTGGTCAGGATGAGTCTCTCCGCACCAGGCATGGGCAAACTTGGGCCCTCCAGGTTTTAAGCGGCCGAGGGGGAAAAGGAAAGGGCCTGAGGCTGTTGGGAATGCTGGGAGTTGAAGTCCAAAACACCTGGAGGGCCCAAGTCTGGTACCATTTGGACTGCCATGGAAACCTGGGAGTTGTAGTTCCGTGAGGCATAGCCCCTCTTAGGTAGGGAAAGCTACAGACCTTGTGAAACTTGAACTCCCAGCATTCCACAGCATTGAGCCATGGCAGTTAAAGTGGTTGCGGAATGTCTCTTGTTGGTCTTAGGCCCCTTCCACACAGCTGTAGAAAGTCCACATTGCACTGGATTATATGGCAGTGTGAACACATGTGATCCTGTTCAAAGCAGATATTGTAGGTTATCTCCCTTGGTATTCTAGGTTACATGACTGTGGGGAAGGCATTTGTATTCTTCTCGAGAGTGCGGCCTTGCTGAATTTGGGATGGGGAGTCTCAGTGCAGCCTCCTTAGGGTGTGTTTACGTTGTGGAATTAATGCAGCAGGACACCACTTGGGGAAGGCAATGGAGTCATTTTGACATGCCCTAGGTCTAGGGTAGTGGTATATGTTGGCCTTCAACTCAGAAATCCTAACAGCTGGTAAACTGGGGGTTGTAGGCCAAAACACCCCAGGACCGATAGTGAGATCACTGTGGGTTCTAAATTGAATGACTTTAAAGAGCAGTGATCAGTTGGCAAAGAGATACTGTTATTCCAGAGCAACCCAGCTATGTTTTGGGTGCATATTCTGTAAGAAAGAATGAAAATGGACACCACTTTAACTGCCATGGCTATGCTATAGAATCCTGGGAGTTGTAGTTCAGTGAGGCACCAGTACTTTGGTAGAGAGAGCTTAAATGCCTTGCAAAAGTAAAGCTCCCCATGAATCCATAGCACTGAACTATAGCAGTTAAGGTGTGGGTCAAACTATTAATCAGTCATGGGCAAGCTTCACCCCTCCAATTAAAGTCCCACAATTCCTAACACCCGATAAATGCTGGGATTTCTGGGAGCTGATCTAAAACACCCGGTGAGCTGAATTTTGCCCATGCTTGGTGTAGATTCACCTTTTGTTGGGCAGTAAATGTCTGCTGTCACCCCCAAGACATTTCTTTTTAAGTTTGGGATTTGAAATCTTAGTATAGTCTTTTGGTTGCACTTTAACTACAAATCCATTTATAAAAATGTACGTGCTAACCACAGGATTTAGTATTAAAATCCCTAACTAGATAAGCTGTACTCTCTCTAGTTTCTATTTCCTAAAGTTACAAACTACGAAAAAAGTGCAGGTTCAGTATCCCTTATTCAGAAATCCTAAATGCTCCTGAATCGCCTAAATGGTGTCTGAAATAGTAAAACCTTTTCTAATCGTTCGGTACACACAAACTTTGTTATATGCACAGACTTATTCAGATTAGTCTGTATATTATTTTATTCAAACTATGCATATAAGAGGTCTTTTAAAACTTAAATGAATATTGGGTTTTTAGGCTTTCATTTCATCTCCAAGATAGCTCATTGCTCCATAATCTGAAGACCAAAGGGCTTCTGGTTCCAAGCTTTTCAGATAAGGATACTCAACATGTATTTTGTTTTGTAATTTGTAAAAGTTTTCAGACTGTTGCTTCTGTGCCCTGTCTTGCTACAAAGTGGTTTTTCAGTAAATATTAGGCAGCATTAGAGTCTTAAGGGTAAATCAAGGGTAACGATATCTATTAATGGTTGTTGGCCATGAAGCAAAATCCACAAACAGTGATACTTTTATTGGATCAACTTGAAATGCAGAAGTTACATCATGCAAGTTTCGCATCACAAGGGTTTTCACACATAGATGGGATTATAAACTTTCAGTAAGGTGTGTGTAAAGATGGGAACCGATTGAGAAACTGCAGTGGTATGACTGTTTAACATCAGTGACTTTTCCACAAAAGAATGCAATGGTAAATAAAAATTAGCAGAAGAGCAGGAGGGTTATGTTAGTTATACAATTCTATTAACAAATCTATTTGTTTATGGTGGAATTCCTTTTGCATCTTTCAGAGATGTTGTGAGCAGAAAAGCAAGGCTTTTGATGAGTGTTCTTCATATGTCCTACCTCACTCTTATCTAATATTAGCCTCCAATCATACCAGAATTCTGAAATGCAAGTTTAATTGCAAGCAATTAAATTAAACATTTTCACCAGTGCCCATCTGGGCTTCAACTATCTATGAAAAAAACGTATGCAAAAAAATATTAAAACAATATCTGCATCAAAGTACATCGTAGTATGGCATTTTCTTAATGTATTAAGGTTAACAAGTAAAATCAACAAAGAGAATCATTATATATTCTTAATAATATAACATAATGATACATGTAATAATAAAGAAGCACCTAATTTATCTATGAAAAGATTGTCAGCTGTATCATATCACCATTCTAACACCAGTCTTTCACCTGAATGCTGTTTCCATTGTTTATGCAAGTAATTTGAAACTTGTTGCTCTAGCTCATATTCTTGTGCTATAATGCACTTTGACATGGTGGAATGTTGTGAAATTTAGAAGCTTTATATGGAGAGTTGGCATTTTCAAGAGTATGTTGAGAATGACTCTGCATATGATTATGCCTCAGGTGCATTTGTTTAGTATGGCTGTATACATTCAAGGCCATTAAACAGGACCATTTGTTTGTAAAAACAGGAGTCCTAGCACAGTATAAGAAGCAAGGCCTGATAAGTTCCTGGACAAATCATAAAATCACGTCTTCCTCAAGAAGTACAGTAAACTTTTTAGTGACAGCTTGAATTGTTTACATGATATATGTGTGGCCTGTGGTACCTCAAGAAATTAAAGCAAACTTGTCCTTTGAAGAGGCAATTGTATTTCATAACCAGATCAGTGTTGCTAGAAAGTTTAAGTTTGAATGTTCAAAGTTGTTTGTTGTATATTGCAATAATTCTGATTCTTTATACCAGAAACATTACTCATGGGAAAGCATAATGTTCCTAGGCATACTGTGAGCACTTCTTATTGCAAAAGATTGGCAAAGAGAACATTGCTCTCCTTTTGACATGTTTCTCTTAGTCTGTGTTCCTTTTCACCAGCATGTCGGTGGCGCAGTGGGTTAAACCCCTGTGCCGGCAGGACTAAAGAACGACAGGTTGCAGGTTCGAATCCGGGGAGAGGCAGATGAGCTCCCTCTATTGACTCCAGCTCCTCATGCAGGGACATGAGAGAAGCCTCCCACAAGGATGATAAAAACATCAAATCATCTGGGCGTCCCCTGGGCAACGTCCTTGCAGACGGCCAATTCTCTCACACCAGAAGCGACTTGCAGTTTCTCAGGTCGCTCCTGACACGACAAAAAAAAAAAAAAAGCATGCAGGTGGCGTGTCCTTTTTCAAAGGCCTGCAGGAAAGTGGGGTGAGGCTTGTTGTAGTCTCCTTTTCTGTGCAATATATAAGGAAGAGAAGTTTACACATTCCTCCTTTTGATCACATCCATCCTTTACAACCTATTGACATTTAGTTTTATGGCTAAGTGATAATTTGAATCTGGGTGTCCCAGGTTTCCTACTTGATATAGAGCAGTGTTATATATTGCCATATGACAACTTTGTTCGAAAACTATAAATTTCCAAAATATATGGATCATATTTTCCATGTCCCAAAATAATATTTTTGTATATCTGAACAAAAGTAAGTTTTGTCTAATTGAAGAATATATGGTATCTACTACTGCTGATTAGTGGTGCAGAATTCTGTTAGGTTGTTATTACTTTACTTGGAATCCCAGTAGTATTCTCATCCTGTTCCAGTTGCATATTGGATTGTGGAACATTCTCGCCCCCTTCTTGCTTGGAAATTCTTCCATATTCTAGTACATGTTTTTCCTAAAGTATGCTTTCATATGTATTGTAGTAGCAGCAGCAGCAGCAGCAGCAGCAGCAGCAGCAACAACAACAACAACAACAACAACAACAACAACAACAACAACAACACATTTTCTTTATTATTTGCGTTTCCTGATGACTCAAAGCAGGGTACAACAAAGTAAAAACCTATGAACATAAAATATAAACAATAACATTCATCGATATAAATACACATACACCAAACATGTTTGCTTTCATCATACATATTCATTTTTGTTGTGAATGTCTTCAAACAAATCCGTAGTTTTGTGTATATTTTCTCTTAAATGTCTTGCAAGCCACAGGAAAGTACACATTCATGTGGCACAAGTGCATTGTTCCATTGCCAGTCCTGAAGGTTGACAAAAGTCCTGAAGATTGCAAAATTGATATTTCTCTCTGGGAAAAGGAACCTAATGAATTTATTTTCTGTCCCTGCCAATAATGTGTTACAAATCTTTTTTGGGACCAGAAATTTACTTAGGAGTGTATATTATAGAATCAGTAATGAAATTCTTGCTGACAGTAAGTGTATCAATATTACATCTCATTGCATTCTGGTTCTGAAAATCATTTGATTAAATAGGCATGTAGACTCGCTGCATCATAATTCTGAGGGATGTGTTTCACATGATTGTGCATTCATACTTAAACTTTTGCTTCCTACATTGATTCATTTGTTTGTGGTAACTTAGTTATGGGGCAATTGACATAAGATCAAAGCTAAATGATTGAAAAGACTATGAAGTCATAAGACATTCACAAGATCTAACAAACTGGTGATGGTAGTGTGGTTGGGTGTTTGAAGTTTACTTCTTAGAATGTGTGGCTTTCTGTTATCTGAAGTAGTGTCCTGAAAGTATCAGAGTGAACTTATCATTTGTTGCTCTCTTGTGGTAAGTATAACCTCTTGTCAACACAATGCTGCAAGTATATGTTCTCTTTTTCTGTATTTGTTCCCTAGGATTGAGGGGGCAAAGTTGGGAAAATGCTTTTCTGATTATAGCTCCTAGCATCCTACATCAGCATGACCACTTGGAGTTGTAGTATGTAAAATAACCTTTTCATGTTCTTGATATAGAAATGTTGTTGACAGAGTTCATTACTATATATTGAGCAAACAAAGAGGCACCAGTCTACAGTACTATGTGCCCATAAGTTTTTGTGCTGCTTTGAGATCAATGCCAGGTGTGAGAAGGCATTTCCCTGGCTAGGTAAATGGGTCTATTGTAGCTCCTTCTGGGATGATAGCACCGTGGCTATAGGCCTGCACAGCTTGTTACATTTGCCATATTTTGTCCATTGTAAAACACTGTTGATTTTAAGATGCACCCTAATTTCAGTACCACTATCACCAACAATAATACATAAGATACACTTGCAATTCTAAGACACATCTTTCTTTTAGAGGTGTTTTTATATGGAAAAAGTGTGTCTTAAAATTGAAGAAATACAGTATTGAATAGGTTTTGTTCTGTGGGTGGGAATGAAATGTGTGAACCAATTGCAGAGAAACCAAGGTAAGAGTTCAAGTGAGTGGAGCTCTTCACTTTTTCCCTGAAATATACTGAGCTGTCTTGCCTCCTGTACAAAGGGAATGTAGGATGTAAATTAATCAAAGAAATAATATAAACAGCAGGTGCAATTTATATTCTAACATTCTTACTGATAGTGGTAGGTACCAGGCAAGGTAGTTTCCTGTCAGTAAACAGCTCCCTTGAAACAGTTTAGCATGGCTTGTTTATGTGGTGGTCCACAGATGCTTTCAAGGGCAACATGATGGACAACATAAGAGAAAAGCTTGGGGACCACAGGTTTACAATATCTAGGGAATGTAATTATTAACCATTGTTTTAAAGGAATAGTGTTATTTCCCTTTCTTGGAAAACAAGAATTCATTAGAATTGAATTGTTGACTACCCCCATGCACAGTGTTTACATATTTATCCCAGGGTACAACTACACTGCAGAATTAATGCAGTTTGATAATTTAAACTACCATGGGTCAATGTTATGTCACTTTACAATGTCTTTGGCCAACTCTGCCAAAGAGTGCTGGTACCTTGCCAAGCTACCACTCCTAGCCATGGCAGTTAAAAGTAGTGTTAAACTGCATTAATTCTACCTTGTAGATCGCAGAAGACAACCATGACTCCCCGTTCTAAACTGCAAGGGCAATGCCTGTAAGGGCAGTACAAATATCTGTAAGGCTAACAGATAAAGCAAAGGCAGGACAATCCTATTGCTAGTGTAAATTACAGTCTTTAGTTAGGATATACTAAAACAATTTCATTATTGCATTTATAGAGTAACTAAGAAGGCATAGATGCACCACCAGTTTTCACATAAGTTGTTTTTAAGATCCATGTGCTGATGGGTCAAAGTAAAAAGAGATGTGTTCCCCTGACCATACCTTTCTCAGTATTCTGTGAATATTGCAGTGAAACTTAACTGTTATATTTCATGTGTGCCCTTTAGAATTGACATGTAGTTGTGTGTGTATTTGGATATCTGTACTTGAGTACAAAAGTAAAGTGTGGATTGACCCTCTCAGCTGTTTTCAGTTGTGAAGGCAGTTAATGCAATTGATTGGCATGATTAGAATTTATGATAGACTTTTTTTTTTGCAGGGAAATGTCACTTGTTAATTTGATTCCACTGCAGTGCTTGTTTTGCAGCAGCAGATTGTTAATCTTGCATTTTTATTATATATAAAAGTATATTATAGCAATATACATAAAGTTTAAGTGCAGTCTAGGCACACTGTAATCAAGAAAAAATATTGAGGTAACAGGATATTCTACAATAATCATGGAGAAAAAATACATGGTAAAATTTCATTCTAATACAACTTATTCCATAAACGTATTAAAAGAGGGACATTTCTGTATAAATGTATTTGTTTGGAAATGTAGGGAGGTTCCTTTAATGTATGGATTCAATTTAGAAATCTCTAGGATTTCAGATGCCTTCTATAATCTTGTTTTTGTTTTATGCTTTCAAGCCAGCACTCTTTTGCAGAGAAGGCTATAGACCTTGTAACCTCCAACTTCTAGGATTCCGTAGCATTAAGCCATGTTAATTGAAGTCATGTCAAGCTGCATTAATTCTGCAGTGTAGATGCCTCCCAGTGGTTCCAGGGCTGAGCAGTGATTTGAACCCTGGTCTCTGAATTCTAGACCAACAGTCAAACTATAGTAAAATTGCTTATTGCTATCTTATACATTTTTCAGCTATGACATTTCAGAACAATTCAACACTGTTATTAATCAATGTGACTTAAAAGGTCAGATATTTAATATGCATGTATTTTTCATTTGTAGGCATCTTTTCTAACAAAGAAGCTAAACATTGGAGGAAAAAGAGTAAACCTAGCGATATGGGTATGTGTATATTGGATATCTTTGTGCTTCTCTAAAAATAGAAATACGTTTACTACATCAAAACAATAAGGGGAACAAAATAGCATTGATTTTTGCTTTTAGTATATAAATAAGTATAATGTAAGTATCTTTGCTATACACAGGACACAGCGGGGCAAGAGAGATTTCATGCACTGGGTCCCATTTACTACAGAGACTCTAATGGAGCTATTTTAGTGTATGATATAACAGATGAAGACTCTTTTCAGAAGGTAACTTTAACCTTTCCACATTTGAACATTTTGGGCTTTTTACTTGTAATCTGCATTTTTCATCACTAGTCACTTAGCAGTGCAAGTGGCTATGCTGCAGTTGTGCCATAAATTCATTTCAGAAAATGTTTTTAGAGTTCAACTGAAATGCTATTGCACTATTCTAAGCATGTCTGCTCAATGAGGCTTCCTTTCAGGTAAGTTGATATTGAATTTTAGACGTAATGTAGGAGACTGTGAGAGTTTGGTACTTTTACTTGTTTGTTTCAATATAATTCAGTTAGATGAATCTTTTTGCAGTGAAGTGCTCATTGTAGTAATCTTGCAATAAAACAATTAAATGCCTTCTCATCCTTGCAGGTAAAAAACTGGGTCAAGGAATTAAGAAAAATGTTGGGAAATGAAATTTGTCTATGCATAGTTGGTAAGCTTTTAAACTCTTATACCTTATTAAATGTCTGAGACATGTTTAAGTATTAATTTGTGTTTAAAATGCCGCTCAACTTCTCATACTCCTTTTTAAAGATATTGGGAGGATTTTTGTGTGGTTGTTCATTGTTGCAAAAAGAAATGATAGATGGTTGCTTTAAACATGAAAAATGGAATAGTAGGAAATAACATGGCAATAGTGATGATGTGAAAGCTGTTTAAAACAATTTCACAAACTTTCTGAAGCCCTATTATACAAGTCCATTTAGCTGATTATCCTCCAACTGAAAGGAAAAAACAGTACAGAAACAGTTTCTTTATGAATTAGCTATGATGTACTTAAGTGTTGCTCCTGTTTTAACTGATGGAAATTTTCTTCAGTTATGTATAATTATACACACATTTCTGTTACTGCTTGCTGACAGACTAGTCTTTCTTTACGCTTAGTTACAACTTGGTAGCACTTTAGTAACCACCAGTTTCCTGTATAATTGCAAAAGGAAACACATTTTGAAGAGGTTTTTTGTAATTGTAAGGATGTAGCAAGAATTGCTTAGATAGGGGGATGATGCCAATTATAGCCTTTGCTGTTTTCACTTTCAGTGGGAGTGGGGTGCAGAAATGTCACGGGATGTTTTTGCTTCATAACAAGCTCCTTAACTGGTTTTGGGAGTTTGAAGTTGCATGGCTAACCTGTGCCATTGGGACAAATCTGAGTGTGTAGACGTGCAGGCCAGACAATGTCACCTGGGTCTGGAAAATGAAGTTAAAATATCCCTGGTGTAGAATTAGTTGGGAGATAGGCCATTAATGTTAAACAGGCCATATTTTTTTAAATATTTCAATCACTAAAGAAGTTTGAATTCCTGACAGGTAATAAAATAGACTTGGACAAGGAAAGACATGTCTCCATTCAAGAAGCAGAAACGTAAGTTTAAATCTCTGAATTTCTCTTATTTTGAAAGTATTACAACTCATATCTAGATGCACTGAATTAGATTGCAGTGGTTGAGCATGGACTTGCACTGAATGCACCTCAAATTACAAAACATTAAAACATTCAAAGCAGACAATAGTAACTTCCTATCTAATCTTTTAGTCTTTTATATTACTTTGGGTTTCTTTTGCTGGTTTTCATGAACCATATTATTTTAATTGTGTACATCTGGGATTGATTGTCTTAAGTTATCCAGTGGCTTAGTTGTGGCATTTGTTAATTAGGAATTCCTTATGATTACAGTTTCCTTTTGTCATTTGACCAGCATCTCAGGGAGTTCTTGCCTTGTGCACAGATTTTCCCCCATTATGAAAATGTTGAGTACTGGGCTGGAGTGAAGAAAGGGGGACCAGGGGACAGTTCCACCTTGTCTCTTGTGCTATTCTAATAATATGTTATAATATAATATATTGTATATACATATAATATTTATAATATTGTAATGTAATGCAATATAATACTACTACTAATAATAATATGATATTATAATTATATATTTATATTACATGTAATATTACTAATAATATAGCAATATTTAAAACTGATATTGTACTATGTTAATAATATATTGTATGTATATATACCTTGTAAGCCGCTCTGAGTCCCCTTCGGGGTGAGAAGGGCGGCATATAAATGTCGTAAATAAATAATAAATAAATACTGCTCTAAAAAATACACTGCTCTGTAATATATACTGAGTGATCTGCATTTAGTTGCCTTTTGAACGGTTATTCTGATAAAGTGTGGGCTATACTCAGACTTTGGAAGTTGTCTGAACTAAGGAAAGACATGATATGGACTTGTGTTGGCCTCATAAGCCAACGTCATATGCTTACTGTAAATATGGTGTCGTTTATTCAGCTGAATGCCGCTATTATTAGTCTCATCATTTTTTTTCATCTGCCTTATGTTTATGTTTCATATTTATGTATCTTATTTTGCATTTTACTGTTGGCCATATTGAGTCTGTGTAGTGGAGAGCTGGGATATATGTTTAACATATTAAAATAAGCAACTTCAACCTTATCACTTGCTATTTTAGAGGTATTTAGCCTCTGCATTCTAGTTGCCAAAAGATCCACGTTTTGTGCTTGCTTTAGAGCATTATTGGAACACAAAATAATATATGTACAAAATGGCTCTTATTTTCCAGTTTGAGACTAAAGTATTTTCCCTCTTCTTTTTTTTTTGGGGGGGGGGGCAGGTATGCAGAATCAGTGGGGGCAAAACACTATCACACATCAGCCAAACAGAACAAAGGAATAGAAGAACTCTTTCTTGACCTGTGTAAAAGTAAGTCTTTTTTGTTTGCTGGCCATGCTAATGATGTAAAATACAAGAAACTTGGATCAATGATGGTGTCTGGCTATGACATTTAAACATAGTGCAAATGATGCTAGTTTTTGAAAAGCTGCACGACACCTTGTGTTATGTAATATTTCATTACATTTTGTTTGGCAGTGGGCAAAGTGCAGCATGTGGACCACGTGTGGCCTCCAGCCATTTTTGCTAGCAGCTTTCGGAGAGAAACAGGCATGTGCTGCATTTTTCATTCTACATCTGAGCTTCTGATCCAGATGTTACTCACACAACTTCCCTACTGAGTCCAGAAGCCTTTTGGAATGATTATTGAATGTTAATGCATGGCCATTGGTCAGCTCAATTAATTTTTTTTTTACTAAAAAGAGATAAATCTTTTACCTGGTGGCAAGTAACTGCTTCTAAATCATTTAGGGCTTGTGGCCTCTGCAGTAAAATAATAACCATCTAAAAATGTAATCAGTTCAATTTATTCAATTTATTCCATTACAGTAGAGTCTTGCTTACCCGACCTAAATGGGCCAGCAGGACGTCGGATAAATGAAAATGTTGGATAATACGGAGGCTTCTGGTAGTTGAAGTCCATATCTCTATCCTGGCAGAGATCAGTGGTGAGTGAGTTCTCTTTCTGTTTGGTTTTCCAGACACAAGAAGAGAACTTGCTCACCACTGATGGAAAAAAGAGAAACAAACAAGGAATTGTAATGAAAAGGTAGATAGCACACTTACACAAATCCTCAAGACAACTGCCTACCATCATTATTTTCTCTTCTTTTCTCTTCCCATATTTCCTACAAACTCCTGTGTAGCCACAGCCCCACCTTCCAACTCAGACTGAACCATTGCTGCATGTGGGGGTGGGGGGGAGGCAGAACCATTATGTTCTGGCTCAAAAATGGGGAAGAAAGGAGCAAACGAGAAACATGGACTCTAAAGGGGAAATGCTGGAGGAAAAGGGGGATGAGGGGTGTGGGATAAGAGCGCTGGATAAATGGAAGGTTGGATAAGTGAGACTACTGTATTTATATGCATTGAACTATATTGAATTTTTACTTACTTTTTAAAACAAAGTTAGCAGCTGCACATAGAATGCCTTAGGTCAATCTCCAGAGGTATCGCTATTAAGCATTATGTATGGGCTATTCAGAGTACTTAACAGTTAACTTTAAAATACAAACGACAAACTGATCAGCTTCGATGTGGTATCTCTATTTACCATGGTCCCGGTAGCAGACACCA